ACTCAGTTTGCGAGCTCGTGTCGCCACATCAGCGCCAAGGCATTTCTAATGACTGATTTTATTTTCACAGAATTAACTGACAAGTTACAAGCTGAATTATCAGGAAGTCGTATCAAAACGTGCAATAAGCATGCTGGTGTTAGCATATCTGCACGTCTTTACGTAAAACGCCAGAATATATATTTTGGTGCTGTTATCAGATCACCAGCTGTTTGTAACTGAGTTCATTTTGTGTTGAGCAGCAATAACACTTATATAACCCAGAGTTGTAAATGTTATGACCGATTTTTACTTCTGTGGATTATTAGCAAGTAAAGGGTTAAAGAAATGTACAGGGCTTTGAGAAAATGATATCCTTGTGATTTTTTCTCTGTCGTTCCTGATTCTGCTGTAAAATGTTTGAATTAAAGGTAAAGATTTACAGAATCGGCTCCAGCAGACCGACGGCGCCGCAGCATGGAGCCGTCTTCATCCTGCTTCTGTCTCGGCGGGACCTGGAGGGTTTCCACTGCTCTCCATGTTGCCGTCTTCAAGCCAGCTGCACCACGTTCTCAACATGATCACACGCTGCGGCCCCTAATTTCTCAGTGGAAAATTAAAGCGCAGCAGTGCTGCTGTGCATCAATCCTCCTGTGATGGAGGTTCCCTTCTGGCATCTGCAAATGCAACAGCTTCAGTGACAAAACCAGCAAACAAATCTCCTCCCTGATCATCTGGAGACGCGATGCAGCCGACGGGTCAGATTAAAAAACACAGCTGGATCGTCATGGATGCTATTCAAATTTTACTAAAAATGATTAAATATTTTCACTAATCCAACAACTTTTATGTAAAGTTGTTGAAGTTGAAGGAGCTTCATCCAAACATCTTTCATAAGCTCATCGTTTTCAGCCAATGTTTACATTCTGATTTACCACATCTGGCTTTTAAAAGCCAGATAAATGCAACAAAGTCTTTCAAATGCAAAGACTGAAGACAACTGGAAACGTATCCAGTTTAGATCCACAGGAAACAAAAAGAGCGCTCTGCACTGAGCCCCACTGGAAACCTGGTTATTCCACCAAACAGAGGTTTCTGAACGCTTTAAATCATTAGTATTGTTATTCCTAAATGAACATCAGCTTCTTTTCTTTGCATTATTTGAGGTCTGGAAGCACTGCATCTTTTTTTTCTCATTTTCAATTATAATTACTAAATTTTTGCTTGGCGTTTCAGAGACGTGTCGGTCGTCCATAGAACAAAAGAACAATGTTCATTTTACTCAAACTTATACCTATAAGCTGATTATGTTAAGGTCTCTTAACTTTTTCCACAGGTGTAGATGTGATTAGACGTCAGAAATGGGTGAAAATCTGCATAGAGGTTAGATATGGACCAAAATACAGATTCTGGTCACAATGTGAACGTAGTCTGAGAAACTGTCCATTCCTGAATCTGTTTCATTTGTAGCTATCCTATAGAAATGACTTTCACTGATGTTTTACTGATTTAATGTGACAAAATGTTCATCAATAGCCAGTATTTTTACTGAGAATCTCACAATGTTTGAATAGTTTTCCAATAAACTGGTCATAGCATGCAGATAAAGTACTCCTGCATTGTAGCACATGTTTCCATTGGGGAGCTCTGACCTTCAGAGAACATATATATATATATATATATTACACCTGCAGGCCACAGAGCTCTCTCAATAATCCCTCTCACTTATCGACTCTACTGTTAATGCACTGCTGCCTTTAGCTGTACAGTTAATGCGATCCGATGGCAGCGGTCATGTCCGGGAGGCAAATTCCTGCACATTTGCTATTGTGTAATTACAGGGTTTTGATTCTGATACAAAGGGCATCTCCTCCTCCACAATAATGACAGTGTAATGAATATTAGGAAACACAAGCCTGTGAACCTGCGAACCATTAGGGAACCGCAGCGCTGATTCAAAGCCATTACATTGTTATCTCTGTCCTGCAATAAGCTGCTAAAGAATGGGAATTATTCTGTTGCACAGAGCCGTCACCCTTTTCTCAGGCTTTATTGAGCAAACCTGCAGAATTATTGGAGTAAAATGCACCAGAGAAAACACCGACAACATCCCTCCCAGTTTGTCTCTTCTTACCTCCAGACTTCAGGCTCAAACAGTTTCCCAGGAATTCGTGATAACCTTGCATCATGAACTCATGCTTACTTATCAAAGGATTATTGCAGGATTTACAATCATTTTATGGCTGCATTTACTGATTGAATTAGAGACACAATTGTAAATCTGATTACTTTCTGCAGTTAATTATCCATAATCTCTATGGATAAATCAGGTACAACCTGCAGTCTTTAGGAAAGGAGAAGGTGTTGAAGCAGCCGAGCTGACGAGACAGCAGAGCAGAAAACTGACAGGATAAGGAGCAGCGGATCGATAGGAAAGCAATCAGGACTATTCTCCAACCATATTTTCTAATCAACTTGTTGCAAAAAAGAAAAAGAAAAAATATATAACAAGATTCATGTGGCAAGACAGCAAAACGTTGTGATGCGCTTGTCAAGATTTATGTGTTTGATTACTGGTGAGTTTTACAGGACAGGAGGAAACCACAAAACAAGGCAGCACAAAATACAGGAAGCAGCTTAAAAATCTACTGACCCTTCAGCCCCAGTGCCACCATCACTGCTGTGGTTTTACTGGGACTGTCTGACAGACCAACACAGAATTCATTTTTAAAATTAAATAAATCCAGTGGATCCAACTTCAGAAGAAATTAGCTAACAGTCTGCTTGTGTAATTTAATTGGATAAATTTGTTCTGAGAAGGAAACTGGATCAGGTTTTATTAAAGTTTATAACAACTTTCTCAGAAATATCGTTGATAAAAACACTGAACAGTCTGCAGTTTTATTACTGTGTTGTTTTTACATCTAAAATAAATATAATCAAGTCTATTGTTACAACTAATATTGGATCCTTTTAAAAGATCTTCAACATTTCAAATAAAGTTCTTTTAAGGGTTTTCATCTGCTGTGCTGATGGCCGAATCCAAATCCTTTCTGACGGGTCAAACTAAACATTTCAGTTTTACAGGTAAATGTTGGTTTGTAACCTGGTAAATGTGGCCAAAGTTCAAACTAATGACATTTTCTAAAGTTTACATTTTAGTGAAAAGACTTTAAAATGTCACCTGAAATCAGACATTTGGCCTGAAAAATAATAAACCTTGAAAAAAAACTCCATCATTTAGGTGCATAATTTGAAAGCTTCTTTCCAAGTTTAAATTTGCATCGTCAATTTCCTCCCTGCTAAGCACACCTGCGATTTCTGGCTCTGCCGTTTCCCAGATCATTCACTGGATACAGACTGAGATTATTCCAAGACACACACACACTCACACACACACACACACACACACACGCACACACACACACACGCACGCACGCACACGCACACACGCACACACTCACACACACACACTCACGCGCACACACGCACACACACGCACACACACACACACACACTCACACGCACACACACTCACACACACACACACACACACACACACACACACGCACACACACACACACACACACACTCAGGATAAATTGCACAATGTAACCACATGACCTAAAATACCAGATGTGCCCCTCATACATGACGACTCCCGGTGGGTTTCGCCTTTCCACCGTCCAACACTTAACTTTGAGCTTCATCTGATCAATATCTTGTTATTGGTCCCTGCCCACCTCTTCAGCTGCTTGTCAAACATAAAATGCTTTGACAAACTCGGCCTAATACCCTGAGGGCAAATCTGCAGGTAGATGAATCCAGTCAGCTTTCCACCCATCTGGACAGCAGCAGCCAGCGGTCAGAGGTTTGCTCTCCCTGATTAACGGCTAAGTTAGCAGAGCGTCACATTAAGGCCCAAATGGCCGACTGCCATTGTTAACTGCTGTCCTCGCACATTTTCCATCACCTTGCAGGGCCGACCTCTTCTACTCGTGTCTGAAGTGACGTTTGGAGCAGGGGCGTCGGGTTTTAAATCGTAAGGTGGTTCCCATGGCGACTGGAACATGTTCAGGTTGGCGTTTCGGTGGCTCCAGAGAGAAAATGGTGATCATTGGTCCTAATAAGGTGGAAGCTCCCAGCAGTCGTTCAGACGCTCTAATCAAGGCTGTGGCCGGGCGCCATTTGATCTGTGGCTGAAACGCCGTGATCCTGATTGATGCCATGTTGGCGCCGAACGGAGAGGGAGGAGGGGGAGGGGGGGGGGGACGCCGGCTTTAATTGGTGCAAATGAACGGTTTCTGTTTCCAACTACAGCCGACGATTGGACTGAAGTGGACGCAATTCAAAGTGTGTTTTACATAAGCCAGATGGATGGAGTGTTTAGAATTAGGTTATCAATAAAACATTAAACTATCTGATGATAAAACACGATGCTTCGATTGCTGACTGAGTTTCTATGACTTTGTATTTTAAAGGACTCAAACGCCTCGTTGCTGAAATGTGCTGATTGTGATTGGTGAGTTGGAGAAAACAGATTTCTTGGTTCTTTAAGTTGCCAAAGAAGAACAAAATTTCCAGCAGATAACAGGAAGAGATACTAAGTTATATTTGTCTATCTTTTGTTTTCCTTCATGAAAAAACTCTTGATTTTAAAATGTTGTGCAACAACTTTGCTGTTTTTGTAATGCTTGCTAACATAGATATTTTCTAATCATTTTGACTCAGACCTTGTTCTGCAGAACATCTTAAAGTTTCTGCTCCTATAAACATTAAATAGCCACTTCCAGCAGGAATACCAGTATTAAATATTTCCAGCGATCTTCTGGTATCTTTCTACACAACAGATCTAAATGAGAAATTAAAAACAGGCCAAAGCTTCACAACAACCAGCCATGGTAGACTGGCCACGAAACACTGACTGGTGGAAACAACAAACAGAAACAGGTGGATCTCTCTGAAAGGCGTGAAAACTTAGGGAAAGGCGTGAAAACTTAGGGAAAGCCATGAAAACTTACGGAAAGCCGTGTAGAACTCGTGAAGGCTTAGATGTCCGTCGTTGTTGTAGTCGTCGTACCGCAGCAGGTCCTGCATGGTGCACTCCAACAGGCTGCTCTCCATCTGCTCCTTCATCGATATCTGCAGACAGATCGCATCACCAAACTGAAATGTCCCATTAGAACCACAAAGTTTCTTTTTCCTTTTGTTCCAAATATTCTACATTTGATGAAAAATTTAAGAAAATAAACTCCCATGTTAAAGACAAGATGTCACATAGAAAAGAAGTATTTCTATTCACAGGTCACGCCACAGTTAGGCAGCCATCCTGCATCGTTTCACTATTTAAAATAAAGAATATTGAGGAGACCGTCTCCAAACTGCTGCAGCTGCTCGTTGATGTTTTTTCCAGACCGTTTAAATGCACCTGAACGCCTCACGAAATGAGTCAGCGGTGTTGCTGGTTAGAGTCAAGTGCAGCCTCCAACTTCACACAATCACAGAAGTACAGCATGTAATTTCCTTCCTCAGCGGCGCAGCGTCAGATCAACCTTACCCTCATGATGATTCTCTGGTTTCAGCCCAGAGCAGCATCCAGTCAGAGGCTCTGCAGAACGGAGGGAACGTTTGGCTGTGATGACCTCAGTTTTAACGTAAATGGACCATTAACCATTTAACCATATTTATATATTTTAAAAGATACATTTGTTTAGGTTGATATGTTAAGGATTTATTTAGTTCTCTGCCTTACGATGTAAATATGGCATAAAATTCATATCACCATACACATTGTGATGGTTAGCGGTAACAATATATATCGCGATACGATTTGTATAAATCTTACAATAGAGAGAAATATATATCTGTATGTTAAAACTCGTTTCTTTGTTATTTCTATGTAATGCTGAACCTTGTTGCTTCATGCCCGTCGTTTCCAGCCCTCCATTAAAAGCCTGACTTTAAGAGGCTCGCCCTGACCTCGCCGCGTTCGCTTCCCCGCCGTCGGACATCCGCCGCACGTTAAACCCAAACCAGGTCCAGGTTGTTGATGATTTGAACCTGCCTTTTTAACGAGCTCTTCCTTTACGCTCCCCTCCATACGACTTCCTGTTCTGATGCTGACCGGTTACATCATCGCCGCGGTTAGCCGCCATCGTAGGCCTGATGTCTGCCGTTCCTGCTCTACAGTTAGAGTAAAACATTAGATTCTTCTATCAGATTCACATGCAAGTTTCACAGGATGCGTCATAAAAACATTACCACAGGCTGTTTCCATAACTGATTATTGTACTACTTTGCTCTTTACCAAGTAAGTTGCAAATACACGAGGACAGCAAGCTTACATCACACAGAAAGGAGAATTAGAAACATGCAGCTTTATATTCCAACCCGGTAGAAGGAGAACGGCTGAGAACAACAGGGAGCTTCAAAGAGAAAACATTAAGCCATTTGAAAATAAGAAACAAAAATCTATAGCTTCCATAACAGAATTACCAATCCTATCAAATCTGCCAAAACACAAACAAATAATTCAAGAGGCAAAGATTTTTCCATTGCCCTATTTGCAAACTCTATAGAAAAACCTCAAAAGCATCCAACACAGCGAGAGAATATTACAGATTTAGAAGCATTTTGCATGAAGAATGAGCAAAATCCCCACAGAAGAAGCAAAAGCCTCTTAGCTGTCGCAGAGTTTAAAGGCCATGAAACATGCAAAGCAGATTGTAGGAGAGTAGATGCTGCAGAGAGCTGATGGATTGTTTTGTCTTCTGGTAGCTTGAAAGCATAAAGTTATCTAGATTAAATTAGTAGTCAGATTTAATTTAATGATTATCAGAAATCAGGTCCTGAGAAGAGCAGCGTTAAAGGTGATGTAAGAGAAGCTGCATCCCCGTCTTCCCAGTAATCTTCTTTTAACTGGTTTATATGGACACGCACATGTGACATGGCAGATTAAAGGATGTGAAACTTTTCATCCGCCTGCAGCCGACGGCTGCCACATGTTTCTGTCACAGGGTGCTCTGCCCCGGGGCGTCTGAATAAAACATCTTCAGACCCTCAGTAAAAGGACTTCACCATCCAGCATTATCTGTGACAAAAGGCAGATCGCCGAGTGAAGATGCTGCGGACGGATGACTGCACTTCCACTTTGATCCGGAAAGCCGTCATCGATGCAAAGCAGAACTCATGAATTCCTACATGATAAGAATGTCTTATCAAGGGATTTCTCTGCGTTATTAAATCTTTTAATACAGCGCCGACATGAAAGGGTGAAGTCTCTTAACTTTTTTTTCTCCTGTTGTAAAAACTGAATAAAACTTGTTGGATTTTCACACAATCATCCAACAAAAGCCCAGTGTCCTGTAGCACTGTAAGACCATTTGGAGGTGCTAATGAAGGTCCAGCTTCTTATGAGATTATTATGAAGCAACGTTTGGGTTTATGCTACCCAGGAAAAGAGATTAACGGAGATTTCCTGGTAGAAAAATCTGTGGTTTAACTTTAAAGGCTCATATGTCATTAAACACACAGGTTTTTAATAAATGCATTCCTGTTTGTTAAAACTTAGATAAAACATCTTAATACTTTATAGTTGGATTGCGAACCAACACTGGTGTAACTGAATATAAAAACTGATCTCACCTCACCGACTCGTCTGGGGAAACATTTTAACAGTGTGTAATCTGGATGAAGTCAGTTTATTGTCATTTGGTAATCTGAATCAAAAATGTACTTTTAGGAGTATCTTTACTTTTACTCGAGTTATTTTATTGTGAAGTATTTCTGCTCTTGAGTCAAATGTCTGGATTTTCTTCCCACTGATTGAAAATCAAACATGTTTTCACCAGACGGACTCACAGCTTCTGTTAAAGTTCCAGGAGGAAGAAACTGATCAGGAAACATTTTGTTTTGCCTGATTTTGCTATTTATATGAATTATTGTATGTTTGGTCCTTAAAATACCAAACCTTCAACTTAACTTCATATCCTGGATGTAATTTTTAAAGTTTAATCTGATGAGTAACTCAGAACTTGAGCAGACTTTTTACCAAATACTCTTTACTCTTTCTTGAGTGAAAATGTGTTGCAGCAGCTGCTGCTCGCACGTTTTGGGCACCTGAATAACTCACCTTGTCCAACTCGTCGCTGATCAGCCGGCCGTCTTCGTTTCCATCCAGGTATTTAAACATGGCGTCCACCAGCGCCCTCTTCTCCTCCATGTCTCGCTGCTGGCTCCGCTCGCCACTCCCCACCGCTTTCGGTTGCATTTCCAGCAGCGTGCTCTTCAGCTTGTTGTACTCCGACATGGTGCATGCGCTGCCTGCAAGGGTAAACACACAGACATGGATAAAAAGACATTTAAATAATCTCAATTATACAAGCCTTTGGATTGTAGCTGTAAATTGGATTTAATGTCCTAGTGTGTTTAATAGTGGGAGTAGAGGAAAAAGGGTTGGAGGGAGAGATAATGTGTGTATCTGCACACGCATGTGTGTCCTTGAGACCTCATCTAAGGAGATGAAGCTTATATTTGCATGGTTTGTTTCAGAGCCTTTCGGTTTCTGAGGTTCTAAATAATTACATATAATCCCTGAATTCACATTACAGACAAAGGTAAATGTTCTCATTTAGAGCATTTTGAGTGACATGTCATATTGTTGTCTGGATGTTGTGTTGTGCCTTTGAAGCTTAAGTGTAAAACAATGTTGGTTGCTGCAGCGGCGCAGCGGCAAAGCACGACCCACATGGAGGCCGCGAGGCAGAGGTCACAGGTTCGATTCCCGCCTGTCTCTCTCATTACCCTCTGCTGACAAAACCTTATTTATAAAAGGTATAAGACAATATTGTTTTCTTAATTACATTTATCCACAAAGAGTTCCAAGAATAACAATGTGTTTATTTTTTACCAAGTCGATGTTTATCCAAAACGTGTGTAAGGAGGAAGTGACGAGGAAAGCAACATATGGAAGGAGGAGGAAAGTTTTCGTTCAGTGTGGAGAGTGAAGCTGGTTAGTTTATAGGAAACTGGATGGAGTTAAATGATTTCCAGTAAAAGTCACACTGGACATCGACGGCATGATCTGAAATAAACAAAGTTCACACATTCTAGTCAGTGTTTCTCAACAAACGCCTGATCACATAAAGAACTGTCTGCTTGGAGCTGCAGCCCCCACTTCACCCCCTGCCTCTTCCACAGCTCCTCCAGACTAGCGGCAGCAACACTTAGCAAACACCCAGTGGAACGGTGAGTCTGCTGAGGTAATTATACAAACCACAACGCTCCTAAGAACGGCTGTAAACAGCATCAATGGACGCATGGAGAAGCACAGCTGACATGACGGAAAGGCAGGAGGTTCTTAAAGAGGCGGCGACCAATTTCAAGACATCAGACACAAAAATGATGCAAAATCAAACAGCAGCAGAGAAAAGCTCCTCCTGTTGCTCTCCAGACCAGAATCTTTCTAAAAGCACATCTAATCCCAGGCAAACACAAACAGCAGAACGTCAGGAAAACGTCCAGGTCACCCAAAATGCAACCCTCCACAACCAGGAAGGAGCTTAATAACAAACATGGGGGAGAACTAGGAACTCATGAAAAAATTTACTTTTAGGAGTATTTTTACTACGCTTGAGTGACTTTATGACGTTTTTATTAGGGTGGATTTTCTTTAAAACATGTTTTAACCGGAAACACAAACCTGCAGTTTCTGTTAAAGTTTAACAAGTTTTTTATTAAAAGAAACTGATTTGGAAACAAGGTGCCTGATTTTGTTATTTGTATGAATTATTGTAATTTTGGTTCTTAAAATACCAAAATTTCCACTGAACTTTGTCTTTTGGTCCGTCTGATGATGTAATTTTTAAATATTACATTTTACTCAGTAACCTTATACCAAATACTTTTTACTTTTACTTGAGTGAAAATATGTCGACGCAGTTCTACTCTTACTGGTATATAATTTTTGGATACTAATCCTTATTCATGCAATTCATAAATGACATGAAATGTTATTTAATGCTTTAGCAAAACGAAGGGTTACAGTTCTGCAACTTTGACTAAAATAGTATGTTTACATTTTAAAAGAATTCATAAATATGTACATGATGTAAGTTTTAATGCAGGATAAATGATTCCTTAACTTCCTCAATGGCTCAGCTCTTGTTCCCAGAGCAACACATTGGCTGTAGCTGCAGCAGTTCAGCGATGCTCAGTGATCAGAGTAAAAATGCAAGGCCTCTTGTACCTGCTAATGAAGTACTTGCAGGAGAAAGTCACAGTACAGTCCAATTTGTGAGAGAGCAAACAAGGTTTTAGGGAGGACTTCTAATTTGTAGTACTCAGATTTACTAATCAGCTACATCCATCAAAGTGTTTCGCTAAATGTTGGTCAATTTAAAAAGGTTATCAGAACAATAAATCACATTAAACTGTACATTTCTAACTCGACTGAAAAGTGATGCTGTTGACCCTCTCAGACTCTGGGAGCCGTGCAGCAGAGACAATGCGCATTCTTCCCTGCAGGCAGGCTGTCACGTCAAGGTCTTTGCTAAATCCATGCTCAATGTTATTCCTGCGAGGCGAATGAGGCGTGAGAAGGCTCAGATATTAGGGATCATCACCTGACCGTCATCTCTGTCCTTGCACCGCAGGGACAGAAATAAATTCACCTCCATGCCAATTTAGATCTCGTCATATACGGCAGGAATTACGCTCTCCTTGCCCCGATCTCACCGCGCTGCTTCTCAATCTATGCAGCAGATAGCAAGGGCATCTGTGAGAAAACTGTTTACTAAATATTTAACATACATTATGCTGCAGCAATATTTAAAGAGTGAAACAGAAACGGAGCCGAGAGCCACAGAGAGTCCTGTCTGCTCTGTAAACCTCCTGTCCTTTGACTCCGGCTTTCTTATTCTGCTGAGCGCAGCAGCTGAAGACCTGGCAGAGAAATATCCGTCTGCATTACGGAGGATCCACCTCTGACTGCTGCTTTATTGTTCAGGAGGGACCTGGACTCTCTTTACAGCCTGTTTGAAATATTAGCTGTTTAAGTGAGCGTGCCAAAGCGGCTCGGGCGCTCGGTGTGCTTCTCTTCTGCCTGAAACGTTCTCCAAACTTAGACCTGGCAGGAGTCGAGCAGAGAAACAAATGGAAAGTCAGGTGAAAGGAAAACTACTGGTAAAGTACAGAAGCTGCAGCAGGAGGCCTGAAGGCAGAGAGCTGCACAGCACACGCCAACTTCAGCACCATTAGCAGCAAGCAGGCAGGTAGCCGTGCTCTCTCAAAAATCATTTAAATTTAATCTCCCTCAGTTTTTCTGGCTTTTGAATCGATAACTGGCCTTCATAAGCAAAACTCCGTCAACAACAACTCAACATCTATTACCGTTAAAACGTAGACGAGTCTAAAACACTCACCGTCTCGTCTGGGGGTTTTATAATAATGTGGGTCTTTAAAACTGGAAGACTTTTTTACACAAACTTTATAACGTACCACTCTCTCTGACTCTTCATGTTTAGAGACAACAGACAGGCATAAACTGTTTAATATCTGATGAAATATGCATGATCAATTAGCTTAAAGGTCACGTTTTTAAAAACTAAAAAAAATAAAGTCAACCCTAGAAAGATAATTTAGAAAAGCCTCGTGCATTTCATAAATAAATCAACAAATAAATATTGAGCGTAACTCGTCCAGGTTCAGTCCGACTGAGCAACACGACTCACTAGCAGTTATACACCAATATGTGATTTATGCCAGTCAAATATTGCTTTATTGAAAAAAATTGTCAAATTAATGTTAATGGAAAAATAGGTCAACGTTGCTTCACGTCTAGTAGAAATAAATTAGTGCATAAAAAAGTCAGTATTTCCTGGGCGCTGGGTGACCAAAGCATCAATCCTTCATGTGATGAAACCTCCCACAATGCCCTGCAGCACGTAAAAGTGCTCTGCGTTAAATTTATGTGTGCCTGACCTCCTCTGGCTGAGATGATGGGATTATTTACTGCATGCTGCCTGTATGCTAGTAAGATGCAACAGTGATGGACCTCCCTTCCAGATAATTATGGATATGATGGACACTTTCTGCTCCCGAGGGCAGCTGGGTCTGGGAGAGCACAGCCAATCTGGGACGGTGACACCAGCCACAGAAGAACCACATGCTGCATAATCGCAGTCGGCAGCTGTTTAAATCGGCTTACTGTGAGCTTCATAGTTTATACAGAACTTGTTCTGTGACAGAAACTACTTCAACTTTCAATATTCCTTTAAATCAGAGAATGGAAAAGGTTCACCTATCGACCTTTTGCAACCGAGTCACTCAGGCCCCCATGATTAGACTCGTACCTTCTCCATAATGTGATGTTTGGCATCTTTCTCATCAAATTTACTTGTAAAGTATATGGATTTTACTCTTTCCTTGTAAAAAAGTGTTTGTCATGATTAATGGCAGCCATAACTTTCCTCACTAAAAATTATAAAACAAAAAGACACATTTGGTTCCTATCCTTGTCTGTGCAGCCGACTGCGCAGCTCCTCTGAGCATTTTAAAGTGAAATCAACTAAATAAAAGCGACATCAGACAACCAGCTGCTTGTTTTTAGATGAGCTTTAAAGGAGAGCGCTGGTTGGCGGAAAACCATGACCTCACGTGCAAAGGGTCAGTGATAAAATGATGTTATTTTAATGAAAGTGAGGACTGCAGTCCAGGACTCGGCGGTCTGAGTTGAGAAACACCTTGTGAAGGAGAGCAGGGAGCTGCAACAGTAAGACTGAGGCTCAGAAAAGGAGGAACATGTTTCAGATGCAAGAAGGTCAGCGACATCGTCGGCATGTTCAGGGATTGGAGGATCAGTCAGTGGATCAACTGAGACACAACAGCAGAGCACTGACTAAACCACCGTGGCCTAAGTGATTTTTACTCTGAATTAATATCTTACATTAAGTTGCTGCTGTGATCCTTTTCTGTGAAGCACAGAGCTGATCCATAGTTTAAACCGACTCCCACTCTTCCTGGCAAACATAACTTACAGTAGTTGAAAAACGGCACCCTTAGATTTCCTGAGTAAAGACGAGCCAGCCTCCCTCTGTTGGCACGGCAGAGAGGATCGCTGTGTTCAGGAAGCCTTATCAGTCCCTGCAGCTGGGAGCCCACTAAACGAGAAACCTACTGCACACCCAGAGTTATTGGTAAAGCAATGAAGGAGAAATACTAGAGCAGCTTTCACTGCCTGCCTACATGCATGTCAGCCAACCTTATCGGGCCTGTTCACATCGGACCCGATCGTCTCTCACTCCGGATCAAATCGTTCCGGATTC